ACCTATGATGAAAATTACAGGCCTCTCTCATCTTTTGGAGTGGGAGAACTTGCACAATTGGTGGCTGACTAAATACTTTTTTGCCCCACTGTATTACACAACATAATCAACCAAATCAGTACATCAGTAAATAGCCAAATAATCTTAACCCTAGGCTAATACAGTATGCTCTTTTTGTTTACCAAAACATTTTCATAATTAATAAACTACATTCCTTTAGCTCCAAAAACTCTGTGGAAAACCAGTTTTAAGCCAGTTTTGTTTCCTTTGCTTGTCATATTTTGGGCCCTTCTACCTCACTTATTAGGCAGCTCTAGAAGAGATGAATAGTTCTTGCCAGAGATCTCCAGAAGGCTTCCCCTCATGCTTAAAATGTTCATAGAATTACAAAATGTTAGGGTTGGAAGGGACTGTAGAGATCATCTAATCCAGCTATGGCATCCTGCCCTTTTTTTTAAACACTTCCAGTGAAATTCACCACTTTCTGGGACAATCTGTTTCAAGACCTCTTACTGTCAGCAAATTATTCCTTATGTACTGTGGTGGTATACATGTGTGGGCTGAATTCAGCACCAACTCTTATCAGATGCCCAGCCATACATGTGAAATAGGCTTCCCTATAATTTAAACTCACTGTTTCTTCTTCTGTATTCTCCACTGAAAAATCTACCCTAATTCTATATAATAATCCTTTAGACAGCTTCAAAGTCACTTTGAAAGCTTCAGAGTCAAGAGGAATAAAAGAACATACACAGATGTGAGCATGTACTTCTAAACCCTGCAAATAATTAATAACATAGCTTTTAATCTCAAAATCTCTATACTGATTTGCTTTGGTTTGGTTGGCTCTTCTGGAGTTTAACTTTGAGATCATTTGAAAAGCAAAGGACTAAGTTATTTTGACTTGCTGTGATTTTTTTTTTTTTGGTGTTGTACATTCATCATTGCACTCTGCACTCAATTCTCTCGTGTCCTTTTGTTTGTGTAAATCTCAGTGCATTTAAAAATGCAAAAATAGCACATATTGTTTGAGCAGCTAAACTTAGATACAACACTTGGTTGCGTTGTCTTTGGTAAGGAGTACCAAAGTACTATCTTTGGTAAGGAGGTGGATAGTTAACAGCTTATATGTAGGGACAGAGATATTAATCTGTTCAAAACTGATTAATAAATAACAGAAGTAAGCAAACTTATGCTTTCTAAATCACAGCCACAAACCAGATTTGGTTTATGGAAATTGATATTCAAGATTCGCTTATTTTATTTCATAGAATAATAGAGTTGGAATGGACCTTGGAGGTCCTCTAATCCAGCCATCTGCCCAGGGCAGGGATCCTTATATCATCTATACTGTCCAACATTTGCTTGAAAACCTCCAGTAATGGAGCATCCATGATTTCAGGAGACAGGCTGTTCCAGTGGTTAATAGCTTTCATAGTCAGGAAATTTCTCCTTATTTCGAGTTCGGATCTACCTCTGTATCTCCCTCATTTTGTTTACAAAATTTATAAACTGCTCAAGCCTGACTGACTGTGAGTATTGTGCATCTCAGTGGTTAAATGGTACAACAATTTAAATAAATCAAAATAATAATGGTACTAGGCGGACAGCCCAATTATCATAGGCTCTGAGGACATCGTGAGAAAAGATAGCTTCCTGAGTGAGAGTAGGGTAAAGGGAAACCATGTTTCCAGGACTAATGTGTTCTGCAGTGAGGGGCTTCTATTGAAAAAGTTTGCCTCCTGATCCAACCCATCTTCATTTCTTTTGGGGACAGAATCCTTAGCCGGGTTACTGAGAGCAACTTGTTAGCTCTGTGATATGGAGCTTTTACTCTTGAGGTGCAAAGCTTAGCACATGTAATAATACCTTGACAATGTCTTAATTCTTACTTGTGGCATTAAAGGTATAATAACATTTCGTTCTTAATCCTCTCTCAAACAGGTATGTGAAAGTGCTTGAAAATTATTAGGAGTATATTCAGTGTTTCTGTGCATTTGTTGTAATTTTTTTTTTTTTTTAAGGTGGAAAACCTTTTATTGAATGACAGTGGGAACTATGTCCTTTGTGACTTCGGCAGTGCCACTAATAAATTCCTTAATCCTCAGAAAGATGGAGTCAGTGCAGTTGAAGAAGAAATTAAAAAGTAAGTTGCATATCTTAAGGTGATAGTTTTCTGCATCCTAACAATAATAAAGTACATCCTTAAAGTCTTTGGAAATGTCAGTGCCTGCTTTAATACCACAAAATTGTTTTAAAGAGAAATAATATGTCCAAAGGCCCAATTCTTTAATTGGATGAATTTCTTCATTTAGAAATCTGTTACTCGCTTAATGACCATTTATTCAGACTGTTCAAAGTTATGATGGCACTGAACAAATAGTAGTTACGACTGGTCATTAAAGTTACAGCCATTGCAGCACCCCCGCAGTCATGTGATCAGAATTCAGGTGCTTGGCAGCCCACCTGCATTTGCGATCGCAGCATGAGCTTCAGCTCCCCCCACCCACCTATCTCTCCTCCATCTCTATCCTTTTGGCCGCCCTGCACTCCGTTGCCACCACCTACCCTGCTGCCCCCTGCCACCCCCAGCTAACCTTCACCATCTTCTTCCTCTTGCTGCTGACGAGGAACGCCTGGACAAGGCAGCTGTGGGCCCTTCTCTTTGTTACTTTGTGCATCTGTAAATAGCAAAAAAAAAAAAAGGCCAAAACCATGGATAATCAAGACATTTTATGTCTTAAACATATCCAGGTCTGATCTCTTAATCAACCATGGATATCTGGAACTAGAATTATACAAACTTACTTTGCCACTCCAGCATTCGTTTGATGAAAAGGATTGTTTTAACAGACAGTGTTTTTCCCTTTACTAATTTTTAAGGTTGTTGTTTTCTTGCATTCTGAGGAACTCTTGTTTCAGAGTAAGTATTAAAAAATAACATGCCTGACAGTAGTACTGTCATAAGACACCCTGAGAAAAATTGGTTTAGAAGGGTACTGTACAAAATTTTAAAATAACATAAATAATACCCCGCATCAAAGTACTTTTATTAGTGTAATACCTGAATACTTTGGGTTTGTAAAACAGACTAGTAATATTTGTGTTTGATTAACTTTTATTCTAATTGTTTGCCTTAAGGTATACCACATTGTCATATAGAGCTCCTGAAATGATCAATCTTTATGGAGGGAAACCAATTACAACCAAGGCAGATATCTGGGTAAGATAAACTTGTTAATTTTTAAGAGTTAATAAGAAAGGAACTAACCAAATCAATATTTCGAAGAAATCCAGACACAGCCAGACTCAGATTTATTGTAAACCTTCTTAATTTCAGTGAGTCTGCTACAAGCATAACTGTCTAGATCCAAGTCATATTTATACCTTTTTTAATCTGCCAAATTCAGTGTAATACATAATGTAACAAGAATCATATTTATTTGTTTTTTGTTCTAGTCCAGTATTTCTCAACCTTGGCAGCTTGAAGATGTGTGGACTTCAGCTCCCAGAATTCTGGGAGTTGAAGTCCATACATCTTCAAGCTGCCAAGGTTGAGAAACACTGTTCCAGTGACTAAATTTATGGAAACAATTGATTGGATTTAATCCAGTACATTTGGAAACTGTTAACCATGAAAGCACTCTTACTGGGAAACCAGTATTTTTAAAATGTGGAAGTTAAATAAATGACTATAAGAATAAATTTTCAATATTCCACAAAGCAGCAAAAAATCAAGAAAAATATTTTTTAACCAAGCAGTGCAAATTTGACAGAATTACAGTTTAGCAATGTCACTGCTAAATAGTATTAAATGATCTAAGTAACACAACATGTTTTAACAGTTTTATTATTATTTATATCTATCTTCATTTAACTAGTGTAAAATTGTGATAACAAAACTTATTGCAACTTTTAAAATATAGTCTGCTGCTGCAGTTACTACTATTTTGTATACCCATTGAAACTTCTAACAATGTGGTTTTTTTAATAGGCACTTGGCTGCTTGCTGTATAAACTTTGTTTTTTCACACTTCCCTTTGGTGAGAGTCAGGTCGCTATTTGTGATGGAAGCTTTACCATCCCAGACAATTCGCGTTATTCTCACAGTATGCATTGCTTGATAAGTAAGTAACTGGTAAACCTTATCAACTAAACTTTCTATGTGAACCTAAATTCTTACATGTAGGTATAACTAAAATGGATTACCTTGGTTATTGCATTTTTCATTATATAGTCTTATTTCCAGTGTATCCATAGAAATAATGTCTCTTTAGGTGTGTAATATTATACAAATATTGGAGTAAATATAATATTTATGAATTGGAATAATATTTTGAGAAAATAAATTTTATGTACAATTCAGGAGTTTTTTTACAAAAAAAATTAGATTTTCTTTTATTACAACTGATATACAGTAGCTTTTTTTCAAAATAAGAAAATAATATCAAAACTTGCTGTTTCCCTGTCTTTTCTGTTAACTACTTTGTATTGTCTCTATGACAAACTGATATTTTTTAAAATTCCAATATAATGGGATGCCATTCAGGTATACTGTATACTACAGGATGAATTCATTTAAATACAAATTAATATCATTGTATGGATAATCCTTTTGGATATCAAGGTTAAATATTTCTGTTGGGTCATTCTGTATCCTACTTTATTATTTGAACAATAAAGACTCCGCTTGAGCACAGAGCTCTCTGGGTGACTTTAGGCCAAATGCTTTCTGTCATTCCAGCCTACTTGACAGTACTTGACAGGTGATAAAATGAGGGGAGAACCCATATTACCTTGAGCTCTCAAGAGCAAAGGTAGGTTATAAATGTAACAATTAAAAAGGTAGATAAGTCTGCCTACCCGCCTGTCATCTGAACAATCTGAAATAGTTTTTCATTGAATTAGTAGAAACTGATAATGATCTAAAGTAGATTTTCCTTTTCTGAATCCAGTTTGTTCCTTTCTTTCAAGGAACTTACATTTTCCATGTAGAATACAAAACTATAGCATACAGTTTATCATGGGATCTTATTTTGGTTCCACCTTAGTATTTGGAATGACTGTCTTATTTTACATCACAGAATATTGATTTCTTACGTGTATAAGCATGCAGCCTGTATAGGAGCCCATGATAAAAATGCTTTTAACATTTCTCATAAAATTAGATCAAGTCCAGGTGATTAGACCATTTTCCCAGAGATATGAAATCTCTTTAATTTTTTTATGTGGAAGGCAAATCATAAGGCATAATGGAAGACTTATTTGGATCTTAAGTTTTCCCATTTCTATAAAATATTGATTGGAAATTCTTTCACAGCAAACTATTGTATATCTGTAGTAGTGTGTGGGACTGACCTTGGGAGACAGGGGGAAGAGCCACAGCGAGAGGAATGGTTGGATAAGAGGCAGCTTAGCCCGCAGAAGGAATGGGGTGTGGCAAGCATCTCGGAAGGGACCCTCCCTAGTTTCTTGGGCTCTAAAGGTGATGGGGGAGAAATGTACTTTCAGAACTGCAATATTTTGTTAATGTAACCTTACAATAAAGTAGTATTAGTTCATCTGGGTGTCCTTCTTGTCTGGACTACTTATAAGGCTGACATCAATCTTGGAAGTCTGAGAGTACATTTTCCCCCCGTCACCTTTACAGACCAAGAAACTAGGGAGGGTCCCTTCTGAGACATTTGCCACCCCCGCATTCCTTCTGCGGCTAAGCTGCCTCTTATCCGACCGTTCCCCTAGCTGTGGCTCTTCCCTGTCTCCCAAGGTCAGTCCCACATACCATTACAATATAACAGCAATTAGTCTGGCTTAAAAAGTCTAAACTGGATAATTGCCTATAAAGATACTTTTTTTCCTGCAAAAAGCTTTGTATAGTGAGAAATTTCCTTAAAAATACTTTTATTTATTCCCTTCGTTTCTGAGGAAAAAGTAAAATACAATTCTGGACAGGAAACTCAATGTTTTCCATATAAAATAATACTCTTGTTATTTTATAGCTATACAATAATATTTTTCTCAAATATAAAACTAAAGTAATATTAACTCAAGGATGTGTATTTCAGAAGCAGTTAGATAACTTCATTTGATCACTGTCTAATAGGATATGTTGTTTTTAAGTGGAGGGGAATAAGTTGTTGTTTGTATATAGTAGTCACCTGATAGTTCTAGAAAACAGAATAGGAAAAGTATCCAGTTTCCATTCTTCTTCAGCATTTCTGTGGAGGGGGTGTTAAGATGTGCTTTTATTCTTATTCAGGATATTCATTCAAAGCTAACAGGGCTTATTATATCAAATTCTGTCTCCCAACTTCCTCCTTCACCCCCTTTATTCTTATCTTTACATGAACTGTTTAAGTTACTATTAATTGTAGATTTCAGTAGCTATTTGTCTATATCTTGACTTCTGGTTCCTATTAATATCTTCTTTTCTCTTCCCCCTCCCTTTCTTGGGAAAGTTATTGCTGCTAGTAGGAATACAAATAAAACTATAGATTTGTAATTTTAGCTATGTTGGGATAGCAGTGCTCTTTTAGTTCTGTAAATTTTATAGTGCTTTGACATTTTATGAGAGCATTGCTAATTCTGAACAACAGCTTAGTTAGTGCAATCTTTTGTGTGTGATTGACTGCCACCCATAAAATAAGTTTAGGAAGTTCTCAGGTCCTTACCAGCCCACTTTTTTTAAAAAAAAAAATCCATTAATTTATAAACTGAAAAAAATACAAAATATATGGAAAGTGATACTTCATTTTTGTGTGGGCTTACTATGCTTTCAACCTAAAGATATTCAACTACTGGAATGTTCATAGAGGGAATGATATTAAAAATTTGGATTGTCCAAAACTGTAGTTTCATCCTGGCCATTACAGATGAGACTATTTTCAGCAGTCTAAAAAGATAATAGGGTTAAGCAGTAGAGAATCTCAGGGAAAGTTGCTTCATTATCATGCAATCATCAAATATATGTTGTGATGATTTTCCAGCTAGAATTGATGTGAAGTTTTATTTGCTTGAGAATGATACATAGAGAGAAGGCATTCAAGAATACCTAGCCCAAGTAGTTTAAGGGTCTGGTAGGTTAAAATGGGTACTGTCTGAAAGATAGTGTACAGCCAGCTCAGGTGCAGAAATGGTGATTAGACTTAAGATATACTTTTTGAAGCAGTTTAGAATAATTTGGCCTTTAAGTTATGAAGGCATGAATGTCAACAGCCAAATCAAATTTAAAAAGAAAAAACTGTAGCTTTGTTGCCAGATAAAATTGGTACAAAGTTCATATTGCAGCTTGGGGATGGATGTAAGAATATTCCATAAAATAGGGTCAACCTATTCTGTAGCACCCATACCTGGCTACAGTACCTCTTAATCTTTTGGAAAAAAAAATGTAATCAGCCCTCAGAGGTAACTATAAAAACAATTTGTGAACCAATCTTAGTGAACTTGGTTGCCTTAATATAGACTTCTTACTTTTGTGTTACTGTACTGAACTTAATTTACTGTAATCAACAGGATATATGCTTGAACCAGATCAAGAGCGAAGACCGGATGTCTTTCAAGTATCTTATTTTGCCTTTAAACTCGCCAAAAAGGACTGTCCAATATTAAACATGAATGTAAGTAGATCTGTATTTCAGCCTCCCTTGACACCATAAATCTTGTTCAGGATAATGAATAGGAGTGGCAGTCAGTGTTTATTTTAAAAAATATAACTAATCTCTCTTTGCTGAAAAAACCCAAATAGCTTTTAATGGATTTAGGAATTGCAGGTATCCTTAGTATTGATAATATTGTTAAAACGGAAGAGTCAGTTTTTAAAAGTTACTGAATAAGATAATGTATGCTTGTATTGATCATAGCAAATATGATATACATTTTTTATGAAGATGACATATTACTTCCTGGCCTCATTTCCAAGATGATGCCAATATTATTAAATAATTGATCAAGCTATTTATCTGGCCTTGTTTCTTACAACAAAAACAACAAAGATAAAAAGACAGCATACTACTGTACAGAGAGTCCTTGAGTTACAGTGGTAACTGGGACTGGGATTTCCATCGCTAAGCAATGCAGTCATAAAGTGGGACATCACATGACCGCATTGCTTAGCGATGGCAATCCTGGCAGTCCCCATCATTGTTGTTAACCAAATCCCACCGGGCGTTAGCCGAGGACCCACCCCTATCCAAGCCATTCCTGGCTTGGTCCCTCGCAGCCCTGAGCCTCGGTAAGGTAAGGGACTGCCTCCTCTGCAACTCCCCTCACCTGCCTGTCTCCCCTCCATCTCTGCCATTTTGGCTGCCCTGCACAGTGGCACTTGGCAGCAGTGGTGCTGGGACCGAAGTAGAGGCCCAGAGCCTTCAGGAGTATCAGCTGGCCACCACTGCCCCAGGGTCTCTACTTCAGCCCCAGTACTGCCACCACTGCTGCCACTGCCACAGAGGAGTGCTGATTCAAGCCCAGTGCTGTGGCCAGCCACCCCTTTGCCACACTGCAAAGCCCCAGCTACCCCTGCTGCCCTAAATGTGAATGTGAATATTGTCTCTAATTCTATTTACAAAAGCATTTATTCTATCCAAGCATAGTGTTCTGAGAAATATAGATGTAAAGGATAAGGACTTGTTAGATATCAGTGATCCTATGATAAGTTATGATAATTTAAATTAGTCACAACTAATCTGGGGTTCCAGTTCACAAATACTCAGGCCAATTCACAAATACTCTGAAATTTACCATTTTCTGTCTCTGAGATAACTAGGATTTCTGAAAACAGGTGGATGTGAATGTTGCAATGAGTGGAATGTTTTTGTTTGTGGGGTCACCAATTTTATCCTCTTCCATGATATTTCAGTTTTCTTCGATACCCACAACTTCAGTGAGAATTCCATGATCAGTGGACAACTTCTGGTCCTACACTTCTATAAGTTTTTTTCTCCCCCTTAAGTTGTACTTTTACAAACCTTGGACTTCACACATGTGTATGAATGAATGAAACACATATTTGTGTGTGAATGTGTCTATATGAATGGATTATATATGGTTTGATGTTTATAGTTCAAGTTGGTGTGAGATAGAACTTTTATATTATTATCTTTATTTCCAAAAAGCGACTTAATAACATATGCTCACTTATTTTCCCAAGAATTCTCCTCTCCCTTCAACTCTTCCTGAGCCCTTGACAGCTAGTGAGGCTGCTGCTAAGAAAAGCCAAATAAAAGCTAGGTGAGTGTAATAATTTAATTGACAATTCAGTGCACTGTTTTGGCCATACTATTGAACTCCATTATGCAGAGCTTTGTTCTGTGGCAACAGATGCGCTCTCCTCAACACAGCTTCCACTTGCAGGAGCTGTGAGTCTAGGAAAACTCCTAAGTTGTGAGCCTGCTTTCCACCTGGAACACAGTTCTGTTGAGAGTCAGAATTGGTACAAACCTGTGGTCAGACGCCTTCTGAATTAATAGCCACTTGGTCTTGCTTGCCTTGAATCTGAGCCTGTTTCTCCACATATGATCCCTAACAGCCTCCCAGCACCAGTTCAGGACTTCCACTGCATCTCCCACTGGCTTCATGCAGATTTTAAACAGGATGGAGGGAAGGCTGAACCCTAGAATACCC